CTCCTCTCTCCTCTCTCCTCTCCACTCGTCTGTACTTGTCTCATCATCCACTCCTCTCTTGTCTCTTTTACCCTCCTATTTTTATTAATGTGTATGTAAGCGTCTGTACCCTGCTTGCTTTTATTTCTGGCTCCTCTGCAGTTGCCCTTTAGTGTCTTTTCCATTTAAGCCTATTGATCATATCAGCAAACAAATTCCAAAGAAATGTCTTCCATACCTGCAAACTCTGCTGATATTAGCGCCTCTTGAGTCTTTTGGAAATCCAGGTTTTGACAGGAAGGTCAGAGTTAGAATGTGACAAGGTGCTGTGTATTATACAAGGACTATAGTCAACAACAGAAAATCTAGGTGGACATTTTTTTTTTACCTACTTTAAAAATAAATATCTGCATGTTGTCTGGATTAACTCAATTGAACACAGTGCACGGAATACATCTAGTAGCTGCTGGGTGCTAATCAAAGTTACACAACCTTGCCAAGAAAATGAATTCCTGCAGTTTTACCATTTCTTTTTGACATGTAGCAATGGCTTCATGGCATGTCTATAGAGTAAATTTATATACAGGAACACACACACACACATACACACTCATGCACCAGCGAGTATTGTGTAGCGAAGCAGGCTTTTGCACAGCTACAAAGCTAACGTACTATAAAGCAATGCAGTCTTAAAAGAAAAGTAACAATCCAACCTACTACTCTTGTTGTTTAGTTGGCTTCAAATGAGGCTAAACATTCTCACAGTTTCTTTCGACCTTCCCTCATTATTACAGCATTAGTCCAAAATCCCCCAACCTGAGGCAGTAGTGCCTTAACAACATGCTAAAGCAGAACAAAATTCAAAGTTGTGAAAATGGCCTATCACATTGTCTGTTAAACCATACAAAGACCACAAAAGAATATATGCTGAACAAAATATATTTGAATATTATTTTCACATAATGAAATCAACAATACAGCATATCCTTGAAAAATTAAATCAGGTCTGCCCCTTCCGCTGTAGAAATTAATGGATTAAGAAGCACTTTTCTCCTTATGAAAGTAACAGCACTGATTGTCCGACCAATGAGAATTTGGTTGGACAAGTGGTGTATATCAACCAATCGACCAGCAAGTTTTCGCCCTACCATATACCTGATGAGAGAAACCACTGATCAATGAAATAATGCATTTTGTAAATGTATTAAAATTTTCGTAGAGATTACAGACAGATTACAAAGGCGTATTTTTCCCGCTGTGTCTCCCAGCAGTCTGCTGTTCATTTTTGTAACAATATTTTGATGTTTTATATTTTTGTTGATGTGGTGGGGTTGGCATTTTGTTCTTCTGCTGGTCGCCTGCTGCCAACGCTTCTTTACTGCTTCAGGCTGTGTACGCTGTTTTTTGATTAAAAACCGCTCCAGTGTGCTCACCCAGAATGCAATGGAAAGACTCAACCTCATCAGCAGCTCCCACCAGTCACCCACAGTAGCCCATGGGGGACAGCAGTTCTATTAATGCATAAATATTTGACAGTAAAATGCATGAATTGTGAACAGGGTGGAATGCAAATATGGTTACGATTCCTATTTTTAACATCCAATGTTTAACTTCATGGGCATTTTTGAACTGCTGTGGAAATAAAGTACTTAATACAAGAGTCAGTTTAGTTTCACATAAGCCTGAATATTGTAATGAATGGACTCTTTGGCTTAGTTAGTTAGTCAGTCTTAAAACAGTCAATCACAATCAGTAACCTTATAGGGAGTATAGGGTGACCCTAACCTTTGGACAGGTTACAGAATCAGTCTTGTGACCAGAGATTGGATGCCTCAGATGGATATGAGTGCAGGAAAAGACACCACAGCGACTGTAAGCAAAGAAGTTCATCCATAAGTCACATGAAATATGATACTGATGATTGTACTATGCAGTTTAGTTATCTTGAAATAAAATCACCTGATGCAAAATCACTGCTTTTTCTCAGGATCACAATTCAATGTACGGACATCCTTCTCTCTCTCTCTATCCACTGTTAACTTCCATAAATCCCTATGGAAATCATATAAGTAAGGCATTCTTTATAAGTTTAGCTCCGGGAGTTGATTGTTGCCTGTGCACACATGATTATACTGCAAAAACGAACAGCCAATAGAGTTTGACTTTCCATGTTACAAAGTCACCAAGTAATGTTTTTGCAAATAATTTTTAAGGTAAAACCACAGACAGTATATATAATGGACAGAGCTTCCAGGTCTCTGAAGATGGAGACATGACCCGACTTCTCACTTAATTTATTAGCTCAGTAAACAGTTTCCTAATGAGTTTATGGTCTGTGACAAGTCTTCTTCCATGCAACACAATTTTCATTTAGTAAATTACGGTCCAGTTTAGAGTAGAATAGACCACAAAGCAGGGTAGGCTTTAGGGTGGGGCTACCTTGTGATTGACAGGTCATTCTCAGTGAGTCTATCCAACTCAACACACTAAACTCAGATCAAACTGTCAAACTAGGCAGTGCCGATCAAATATGAATCAAGATTATGTTACTACATTACCTGTTTCTGTTTCATAAACATATTTTACTGTACTGTTTATCTGTAATACAAGAATGTGTGAGACCAGGCGAGCCACCATCCTGATGGCATGGATTTTTATTTTTCAATGTCATGAATGACTTCTGAAGAGAATTTCTTTTGGATCTCTTTTTTGTAGCTCTGCTATAAAGGTGCTGTGGATTAAACCAGACATTTGTCTTAGAGGAGAAATGTGATTGTGGCACACACAAAAGATAATAGATTATTTATTGCCATTTTTTTTCAGACTGATTTATGTTATCCTACTGAAGCAATGTAATGCTTTAGGTCTGATGGTAAATCCATCATTACTGACATCTAAATCTCTTTGGCTTTCTGAAGGGATTCATAAAATAGAAATCTACTAATGTAAAGTCTATAGTCTGGTTGTTGTAAATAATAAACATTTGATTTGTGATGAAAATTAAGATTATGCTTTTATTAAACCTACAGACACTAACCTTGGATCATTAAAGGATGACACTAATTCTATTCACCTACGGTTGCTCGGCACAGTTACTGCCAGAACTACAGTGTTTTCATGTGCTCTGGTATGTGAGGAAGAAATATGATTTTGGTGTCTGTGTTCTTGTCAGATATTAGTTTCCTTCCCCGCCCAGCGATGGTGTGGTGTGAGCGGGGCATCCAGGTGCTGCTGACTACCGTGGGAGCGTTCGCGGCCTTCGCCCTGATGACGGTGGCTATCGGTACAGACTACTGGCTGTACGCCCGCGCCTTCATCTGCAACAGCACAGCCAACTCCTCCCAGGAGGACTCCAACAATAAAGATAAGAAAGACCCTGGGGCACTCACCCACTCCGGCCTCTGGAGGATCTGCTGCCTGGAAGGTACAGCTGGTTGTATTTGTGCATGTTTGTGCATGTGTGTGTGTGTTCGAGGCTGTGGACACCTTTGGATGCATTGGGGGTTGAACTTGTGTGGGTGTTTTCTCATGCGCTGGTCACTGGAGGGTCTTGTGGAGGTCAGTGTGCTCATCATTATAATCAGAACAGACATAAATAGGAGTCCCCTTACTCATAAACACACACACACACATACACACACAGCATGATATATTGCTGTACTTTTGTTGATCTGCTCCTCAACCTTCATTACAAGGTGCTGTGAGCATCTGCACATAACCATAGACAAAAAAAAAAAAATCCATGCATGTTTTTCATGCAACAGGTGCCTAATATGAAATTTTCTGGAAATGCAAAACTTACTTCAGCAATCTCATAGTATTTTCATTCAAATGTTTGTAGTATTTTAACAGTATTACATGTTTTTTATTTATTTCATGAAAAAAATACTTCAGAGGTTCCATTAGATGCAGCTTGTGTACCACCAGTGGTACATGTACCACAGTTTTTGAACCAGTGCTTTTGAGTATGGTGGGTTGTTGGTCCATAAATCTGTATTTGTACCTTTAATGCACTATGATACCAGGACATGCTGTAAACATGATAATGAGATGTTAAAAAAGCTAATGTGTATTTAGTATTTTTGGTACATCTTGGCATTTGTGCATAATTCAGATAAGAGGATTTCCAGATAGATCTGAGCTTTGCCTCATTTTTCCCCTGCTGCACTTGATTTTTTTTTTACTTTGATGCGCAGACACGCACAAACACTCATACTATGCATTCAACATAAAGCTCATCATAATGCCCCAGAGCTCAGATATGAGCGGTGACTCATTCAGTGACTGATTAAGTAGTTTTCCTGCGTTTCTGCAGCTGACAGACAGGTTTAATAGGAGAGGACACACACATACATAATAAACACACATAGAAGATGGAGTTTCCAGGACACAGCTATTTATTCTAAAGGTTCTTGTGTTTTTGTTAAATGTGTGACATGTTGCATCTTAACACCAGTAAATTACCACATTCATTTTGAGGCATTAGAATAATTATCATAAACAAGAGACCGGCATCAAGAACACCAGCCTTTTCACTGGGTTTTCCACGGTGTGCAATCAAGTCTGACATGGAGGGAAATTTGTTCATCCAAAATGAGTTCATTAAGTTTAATAGTTTTTGCAAGCTATGTCATATGGGAAGACCTCTTGTTGTTCAAATGTGGCAGAACATTGACTTTTGTTGTTGCCTGGTAGGTTTTTTTTTAGATACTCTGCCCTTCTCTTTTTAAACCAGTGCCCTTCTCTTTTTAAACCAGTGAGAAACATGGGATCTCTCTTTCCCTCTTGATGTTTAGTTTGCCCATGAGATGCAGAAATAGCTGTCAACCAACAAATCAAATACTCCCTCCCAAAAAGTAAGTGTACGGAAGCAGTTTCTGTTACAATTACCATAAAAAACAAAAAGCTGCTGTTCTTCCACAGCTAAAGCTTTCATATTGTGTGGTAATGACACATGGAGGAAGGAGTGAAAAGCCAACTCACTGTACATTGCCATACAGATGAGAGGAGTAAGACAGCATAGCATTTGTGTATAAGAGACAATTACAGATTATCATTGTTGATTTAATTGTAGTTGATTTAGGCATCATAAAGAATGACTCCAATCTGGTCGGTGCCGGATTTGATAATCAGGAAACAATATATATATATATA